ACAAACACATGATAGATAGTACTCGCTGGTTTCTGTAGTGTAAATACCCCTACCATTCAAGTTACTAACATGGTATCACTGAACAAGGAGATAGAAGAGATGCACTGTAGCATACCCATATAAATAACCTCCATCATACAAATATAATAGATATAAATAAATTCAAGAATACAAATATATTAGACAAAAGAAATTCAAGAGTATAGAAAATAATAAATGTAATAAAACAGGAATTGGTGAGTTTTGAGTACTTGCTAGCTGTATTTTGTAAGTAATTCATTTAAAAGCAATTCAATTTTTTGTAATAAGTGGGTTGAATGTCCAGCTTATAAAATTCCTGAAAATTTAATAATCAGCTCTCATGGGCCTGTATGAGCAAGAGACAGCACAACACTGGATATATTGGTAATTGCACTAGTATGGTAGTAGTTACAATGAAGATCATCACCTCTTCTGGGAAGACTATCTGTATTAGGTAGCTTTGTCTATATTCCTATTATAATCTCCTAGATATCAAAGCAATCTCCACACATGTTGAAATCTCATTTCTCTTTCTCCACACTTGAGTTCCCAGTGACTATGATGTTTAAGTCTGTATCTTCTGTGTCTAGCACTGTTCCTGGGACAGGTAAGGTCAACAATGCATATTGAAGAAATAAATTGACCTGGATCCAGGTCCTGTTCTCCAGAAACCCACAGCTTATGTTATGATGTACAAAAACACACAATTACAGAATACCCGTGCAATTTAGTCAACTCTATGAATGAACAAGTAAACGGATAATAGGGTTTTCATATTGTCTACAAGTGGCTTTTAGTGAGATGGAAAATAACAGGAATTATGGATCAATGAAAGTAGATGTAACAGTTTTTTTTCCTACTCCTATCATGATTTAAGACAAAACAAAAAACCCAAAACACCACTATGTTTCCTTATCTAATCTGCTGAATGATATTCTTTTAACACTCAAATCTTTAAGAGGTAAAAACAGCATATATTCATTTATAGGAAAATTACTATATGTAGAGAATAAGCAAAAGCCATTTATATCTTCCAAGATTGATATATTAGTGTAGGTTAAGATGATTGCACCTGGAAGTCACAAAAAATACAGTGGCTTGAACAATATGCCTTATTTTTTCTTCAAGTAAATGTTTGGAGGTTTTCAGACTGAGATTGGTGTGGTGGTTCTGCTCCCATGTCGTTAGGGGTTCACTTTCTCTCCCGCTCATGGCTTTGGCCATCTCTGGGATGTGGTCCCATTTCTTATGGTCCAAAATAAGTATCCAGGGGATTCCTTGGTGGCTCAGCGGTTTAGCGCCTGCCTTCAGCCCAGGGTGTGATCCTGGAGACCCAGGATCGAGTCCCATGTCGGGCTCCCTGCAAGGAGCCTGCTTCTCCCTCTGCCTGTGTCTCTGCCTCTCTCTCTTTCTCTCTCTCTTTAATAAATAAATAAAATCTTTAATAAAAAAAAAAACCCAAAAAACGAAATAAGCATTCACCCTCCCAGAAGCAAGATGAAATAAAGAGGAAGCACAGGGCTAACAGTTTTCTTAGGGAAACTTCCCAGAACTTTCCCTGGGGCATGTCCATTATCCCATTTAGTAGATGGAATCATAAAGTCACATTTAGGTACAATGGAGTCTGGGAAATGCAGTCTTTATTCTCAGCACCTATGTGCTTAGCTAAAAATTTCTATTACCATATTGGTGAAAGAGAAAATAGAATTTTAGGGTCAGCTGCTGGAGTTTGCTAAAATTTATTTCCTTAAATTGCAAATAGAAGAAGTGCTAGGTTAGAAGTTTTGCCTATTTTCAAGGTTTTTGATGCATATGGATAAATTTCCCTTCAGAAATCATGTACACATTTTTACTCCCATGGACATCTATAAATGCTTTTTTTTTAATTTTTTAATTTTTTATTTATTTATGATAGTCACAGAGAGAGAGAGAGAGAGAGAGGAGAGAGAGAGAGAGGCAGAGACATAGGCAGAGGGAGAAGCAGGCTCCATGCACTGGGAGCCTGATGTGGGACTCGATCCCAGGTCTCCAGGATCGCGCCCTGGGCCAAAGGCAGGCGCCAAACCGCTGCGCCACCCAGGGATCCCTATAAATGCTTAATATTAAAAACCAACACAATAATCAATTCATTTAATGTTTGCTGTAAGGCTTTGTGACTGGGAAGATGTGATAGAGAAAGTACTCAGTGTTTTATATGCATGGGATTTATTGTGAGAACCCTTTCAGTGGCAAGTGACAGATGACCTGCCAAGAGTGTTGAATCTATTTAGCTATTGAAGTGATTGAATTAATTAAGGAAAGTTAACTGCATAGTATGTTGGAATCTGAGGTTGAAGAATTTAAAATAAAGAATGGCAATGGAGGATTATATAGTTGTACAAATTTTGAGGCCTTAAGAGAGAAGAGAACGTATAATATTACGTTCTCTTAATGTCATGGAGGAGCTTTCCACATACGCTTTCATCAACTGCTGTATTCCAGGCAATGTCTTAAGTGCTTTATATACATTCTCTTATTGAATTCCCACTGCGGGAATATATATTTATGTATATATATATCCATATTTTACACATGAGGAAGTGAAGGCTCAAGAGAGATCAAATTAGGGGTGGAACCATAATTTAAACCTCATTCTATTTTCAACGTTTGCTTTTTCTCTTCTACTTTGAAGACCAAACTGATAAAAAAACAAATTTGATAAGGATCATTTTTGCGATAGCATTTGAATTAACTTACAGGTATGAAAGGCATTTTAAAATCTTTAAAAATCATAAAAGAATTTATAGAACAACAAATGCAATATTGTAAAGGGGAGGAAGGGGCTCATGAGATTTTTGTCTCTTTTGACCTGAGTTACATCCTTGCCTCTCTTTTCTCATAGAACCTTGTGTTCACTCTAAGATTGACAGTTCTCAACTCTATTGTTGTCTATTTATTTTGTTGTCTCTGCCACCAGACATATATTGAGTGTCAGATCTTTGTATTCCTAGAGCCTGGCACGATGTTTAGAATGTAATAGGCGCTCACTAAGTATTTACTGAATGAATTATACATCCATTTTACAGCCATATTAATACAATTTGCTGATGGAGAGTTTTTATTAATTTACTATTATGCCAAATTTTAAGAGGTGTACAATAGTTAGACTAGTATAAAACTATGATTTTTCATCCAGCTATACGAGAGCTATTTATGAAACAACTGAATTTGTGGATACTATTGAGTGCCTACAACATGCGAAGCTATTTTGAGTGTTTGACATTGTATTTACTCATTTGTCAGGAAAACCTTATGAGGGAAATAGAACTATTACCTCCATTTCAAAAACCAAGACGTGAACCCAAGTAGTTCTGCCCTAAAAATTCTTGGTTTAGTAACTAGGCTATTTTTTAACTTGCCATTTTTTTTAAATGAGATCTGTCATCATTTATTATTATTATGCATGACTCCATAAGAGCATCTTCTAATGAAAACTCCAGGATCCTTATACTGTGTTGTCCATCCGAGCTTCCCTTCCGTGAAGGGCGCTAATCCTCCAAAAGGAAGTTGCTGCTTTTATTATACTTGAGCAACTTGTATTCCACCCCCCAAACCAATGAGTAATTTGCAATCAACATTGTGCATTACTCATCTTAGTATTCAGGGACTCTTATTTTGGATCGCTTCGCCTAAAAAAGTCCACTTGCACCTCCTATGTGACTTCCAAACGCCAGAGGCTTTCTGGCACGGAGACGCGACCCCACATCTTCGCAGACCCCGCCTGGCAGGCTTTTTGCCGGCAAAACTACACTTCCCAGTGGCCTGTTCGTCCGCGCGAAATCGTCTTTCCAGGCTCCGGCGGCATCGCGGAAAACCCAATGACGCTGTGCGGGGCCGTGCGGGTGGGAAAAACACGGGGCTGACGGGCGAGGCCCCGCAGCGCTCCCGCACCCCAGGATGGCTCGGAGGCAGGAGGAGCAGAGAGGGGGCGCGCCCTTGATGGCGGAAGGCAAGTCGGACGCGGAGGTTAGGCTCATTCTGTACCACTGGACACATTCTTTCAGCTCTCAAAAGGTAAAGGCCTCTGCCGGGGCGGGCGGCGCCGATCAGGTTTCAGCACCGGGACAGCTCCCCCGGGGCCCTCCGGGCACTCGGCCTCCAGAACCTCCAGAGCCGGGCCTCCGACGCCCCGACCCGGTGGGCGCTCTCCCCGGGCGCAGCATCCCACCAAGCGCACTTAGTCTGAGATGCAAAGGCTATGACTCAGGCTCTGCCGCTGATGAAATGCGACAGAAAAGCATCTACTTTAGGTGTTTGGGCGGGAGGCCTTGTCCCCTGGGCCTGAGAGCGAGGCAGAGGAAAGCGCCTTCCTGCAACCGCAGCATCTTCTTTTACCCTTTGTACGCATTTGCTCTCCTCCACAAGGCCTAGCTCATCTAGATATCAGATTCTTTTTTTTTTTTAATGATTTGTTTTTTGTTGGTGTTCAATTTGCCAACATAGAGCATAACACCCAGTGCTCATCCCATCAAGTGCCCCCCTCAGTGCCCGCCACCCAGTCACCCCCACCCACCTCCCTTTCTACCACCCCTTGTTCGTTTCCCAGAGTTAGGAGTCTCTCACGTTCTGTCTCCCTCTCTGATATTTCCCACTCATTTTTTTCTCCTTTCCCCTTTATTCCCTTTCACTATTTTTTTTTTTTTTCTGTCTGGGGAGGACACATAATTAGGTTTAGGACGCAAAGAAAGTACTGGTGATGGGAGAGTCACTGTGGAATAAATCAATATAGCCAGAATTATTTTCGTTCCTCATTTTGTTGTCCTAATTTATATGATTAAGATGCTAGAATATATCTCACTTGTTAATTCCTAGAATAGGAATAGTTAAAAGAGGTTGTTGATAATAATAACTTAGGGAAACACAGAAAGGCTACTTAATGGTATCCAGGGGTGTCAGTTAAAGCCTGCATGTGTTGTAGTAACCAGTGTCAACTCTTTCAGGTGCGCTTGGTAATTGCTGAAAAGGCATTGAAGTGCGAGGAACATGATGTAAGTCTGCCCCTGAGTGAACACAATGAGCCTTGGTTTATGCGTTTGAACTCAACTGGAGAAGTGCCTGTCCTTATCCACGGGGAAAACATTATTTGTGAGGCCACTCAGATCATTGATTATCTTGAACAGACTTTCCTGGATGGTAATGTTAAGGCTATTTGTGATTTCTTGGATTTACTTTCAACACAAATGTGTGTATTCCCTCCCTCCCTCCATCCCTCCTGTTCTCTCTCCCTCCCTTCCTTCTCCCCTTCCTTTTTCCCCTTGGTTTCATGCTAAAAACCTTTTCCATTTCCATAAGCACACAAATACAAATTAGATCAATACCATAAATTTTGTGTAAGCCAGAGTAACTCTATTTAAAAGATTTTGTGTAGCTACAAATTTTAATGTTGGAACTTTCCTTTTACATTCACTTGTAAAAACCTCTGCAGGTGTGTGGTTTGTGGTGGTGAATTTTTAGCCTTGAAAACTCATAACCATTTGAAATGTACACTATGAGTTTTCTCTAGTCTACCAAATAGTTCCATCTTAAAAACAATAGAAGGGAAAAAGATGAATAAAACTTGGGCAAGGGAGAATAGAATGTTAGTATATCTGGAGATCTTTGCCCTGTGGCTTCTCTATAGTTTGAATTTTATATCTTTTGCAAGGAGTTATAGCACTTAAATTTGTAGTGCTTTTAAGTAATTGACAGTGTGTTTTATGTTAAGCATTTTATAACTTCTCTTCTATTTAATCTTCAAAAGAACTCATGCGAGACAGGCATGGTAGACTAGTTATTCCCATTGTATTTGAGGAAAAAGAAACAGGGTTGCCTAAGGTAATACAGCTATTTTATGGCAGAGTAGGGCTGGAATGGAAGTGTTTCAAATCCTCGTCTTTATATTATACTAGCTATCTCCCATAGTCATTGCCATTTACATATTGTCTTGCTTGCTCCTAATGACAATCCTTTGAGGTGAACTACAGCTTCACTGGCATAACTGAGAGAACAGAAGGCTCCTAGCTTTCAGCTGAGTACTCTTCTGAAAAAGAAGCTGCATGAGATCCAGTTACTTTTCATCTACCACTAGTTCTGTTGAGGTTAATTGGGCAGGATAAAACTAGAATATAACCCCAAATTACTGGAAGCTGAGAAAGGAAACTACTAGGTCAAAAAATGCTTGAGGTACTTAGAAAAAATTGTATGGGACCTAAACATGTGTGGAGGGAACCCCAGGGAATTAGTTTGGCAATGTGGCTGCCTCTATTTTTATTCCAAGTGTTTGCTTCCCTAGGATTCTGATTGGAGGTTTTAGAGGTGGCCACTGATCTAAACCAAAGAGTTTAATGAACTGTTTTCTCCTTTATGATTACTTGCCATCCCTTATGTATGTATGCTGGGGACTGTACTGAAAATGGTGGCTAATTGATTTAAGACAATTTTTCTCAACCTTGAGCTTTTTGGAAATGGACAAGTCTGTTAAATAATTTGTATTTCTTGGGAAAAGTGGTTATGATATGAATAAAAAATGTATAATAATTCCGTTTTAAATTATCAAAAATCTTAAAAATATATAGTAAATGAAAAATCATATTTAAATATTTTGTTGGCATCCCTTGAACTACTACTATTACTAGCATTCTCCTCCTCCTCTCTTTACATTGTTTCTCCTTTAAGATATTCAGTAATATAAAATGTTACTTTATAACATAGTAATGTTAATGATTATTAGGCTTTCTTAGACGTTTTCTTTTGCTTTGATTATGTAAAAACAAAACTAAAATACATTCTGAGTCCTACTCAAAGAAGGGAAATATTAAGTTCTTCTTCTTGCTGCTTATGGAATCAGAGGAGAAGGCACTGGGACTAAATATTAAATGAAAGTATGGGAACTAAGGACTTTAATTCTGGCTATACCAATAGAATCAGTAAACAATCAAGAATCCCAGGTCTTAATCTGCAGCTGTTGCTAACTTGTTGCATATCCTTGGTGACTTAGTTTCTCTATCCTCTTGGATTAGGTGATATAGTTTGGTCAATTGAAGAGATAAAACAAGTCCAGTCAATTCTTATTTCACTCTTTTCTCTTTCCCAGGAGAGTAGTTACTCCATTAAAAGGGTTAAATGAAGAGTAAGGGACCCCAAAACCCATGGTTTGAAGATATGAAGACAGCAAGAAAACAGTTATATAAAAGCTAGTCTGGTCTATGGATGAAGTTAATCCCAATGTATTAAAATAAAAAATAAACATGCATGTGTTATCACAATTACCATTAAGATAATTTGTTATTAAGAACCCCTGGAGGGATCCCTGGGTGGCGCAGCGGTTTGGCGCCTGCCTTTGGCCCAGGGCGCGATCCTGGAGACCCCGGATCGAAACCCACGTCAGGCTCCCGGTGCATGGAGCCTGCTTCTGCCTCTGCCTCTCTCTCTTTCTCTCTCTCTGACTATCATAAATAAATAAATAAAAATTAAAAAAAAAGAAAATTAAAAAAAAAAAAAAGAACCCCTGGAGATTAGGAAAAGAGCCGAACAAGAAAGATGTTAGCCAATTGTCAAGGATGGGGAAAGCTGAATTCTATGAATCTTGCTACTTAAAATGTGTTCCATTGATCAGCAGCATTGGGATTACCTTGGAGCTTGTTAGAAATGCAGAATCCCAGACTCTACTGTAGACCTCTTGAATCAGAATCCTCGTTTTAACAAGATCCGCAAGTGATTCATATATACATTAAAATTTGAGAAGCACTACTACTGTGTGTTAAATAACTGCTTAAATTCTAAGCAGCACTTATAAATTACTTATACACACATATGTGTGTGTGTATATATATATATATATATATATATATAAAACTTTTGAGTATCTCAGTTAAAAGGAACAAGCTTAAATTTTACATTACTGAAGAATGGCTTTAACTCTTAAAAAAATAAATCTATTGTGTACTGGGCATGGTTCTAGACATAATGTATCTTAAGTAGAGCCTTTGAGATTACCTCATAAGATACCCTTGTGGAAAAAAGAAGCAAATATGGCTGGATAAAAGTAATGCACATTTTCAGATGAACCCACTGGGGAATATTGGAGAATATTCATTTATAAATGTCTTGCACAAGGTTGCCCATTTAGCTAAAGACTTATCCTGTATAACTTTATTATATTTATTTCAATTATTTATAAACAACTATAAACACGGTAAGGTCAGAGACAGCATCTGTCTCATTAATAGCTCTATTCCCAGTGCTTCATATGGTGAATGTTCTTTAAAAGGAGTTTATTTTTATTTTTTTAAAGATAGATTTATTTATTTATTTATTTATTTATTTATTTATTTATTTATTTATTTATTTTTATGATAGACATAGAGAGAGCCAGAGACACAGGCAGAGGGAGAAGCAGGCTCCATGCTGGGAGTCTGACGTGGGACTCGATCCCAGGACTCCAGGATCACGCCCTGGGCCAAAGGCAGGCGCTAAACCGCTGAACCACCCAGAGATCCCCTTAACAGGAGTTTAATAAACTTTTTTGAATGATTAAAATGGATGAACTTTTGGCATCAGCCTGGACAGGGATGTCTACTGGTGTTCTTACAGGTTTCTGTTCTTTGACTTGAGCCTAACAATTCTATAAATGACTTGAATAAGGACATTGTGGAAATACTTTTACATTTGTGGATGACAAAAGCTAAGATAGTTAAAATGAAGACTAGTTTGTGAAGTGCTTGTCATTGGACAATAAAATGGAAAAATAATGAAGCAAAGTTTAACAAGGCTAAATGTAGTATGTGAATTAAAAAATCAGGGGCATTAATGAAGGATGGGAGACCTAGCTTGCTAAAAAGTTTTTGATTAAAGCTAATAATAAAAAGCTGGTATGATTACAAGTTATTTGAAAGTATAGGTTCTATCTAGAACATGACAGATTGTGAACTGGTCAGAACATACAACATTTTGTCGAATTATGGGTAGAATTTTGAGGAACATTTACAACTTAGAGTAGTAAGTGAATGGATATCATGAGACATAGTTGCCCATGCTTATAATAGGAGATTTTAAGTGTATTCAGTCATGTAAAGAATAGAATGTAGTTACCTGTTATCTCCCTTGCTGCCATTTGTCATCCCTTATTAGTTTACCAGCTGGGGATTATATTACAAATGATATTTTGCTGACCTGTAGACATTTCTCAACATTTGTATATAGTCAGTATTTATATTATGTTTTTGGGATGAGTCCATTAAGTAACCAGTAGTTTGGGGGGAGAAATTTGGTAGCCAAGGCAATCCCTTTCAAGTCTTAGCCTAAAAAAAATTATCTAAATTGGATGATGGCTATGCGTGATTTTTTTAAAGTTTTATTTTTATTTAAGTAGTTGCTACACCCAATATAGGGTTTGAACTCATGACCCTGAGATCAAGAGTCATGTGCCACTCCGACTGAGCCAGCCAGATACCTCTTAATTTTTTTTTTGAAAGCAGTTATTGATGTAGATGTCAATGATATTCCTGAGGTCAAAATTTGGGTTAAAGGAAGAATTTAGAAGCACTCAATTATGGCTGCTCAACCAAGAGCTGGCAAAGAACAATCTATTCATACCTATTAATAGGTATTTTTGGGGTATTAATTGGTGCAAGGACCTGAGATATTTCAAAGATCCCTAATCATTAGAAGCTTATTAATATTAAAGATAGCTTCATTCTGTAAACTTGATAATATCAAATTTAATACATGCATATGCTATTATTACTATCAGTTTTACAGAGTCCTTTCCATGTATGTGATACCTTTTTCTTTTCAGGCATGTAATGAAGAGTAGATATACTGAAGCATGCAATTGATTAAACTAGATGATGTGTGATACTAAGCAAACTAGGGAAACTCAGGAACAGTGGATGTAACAAGTGAATATATGCACAAATACAGATTTTAAAATCTTTTTTTTTTTTAAGATTTTATTTATCCATGAGAGACACACACACACACAGAGGCAGAGACACAGGCAGAGAGAGAAGCAGGCTCCTTGCAGGGAGCCCGATGTGGAACTCGATCTCGGGACTCCAGGATCACACCCTGAGCAGAAGGCAGACACTCAACTGCTGAACTACCCAGGCATCCCATTATCTAGATATTTCTTATATGATTCATTACCTCTTTCAGTGAATTTAATTTGGCCACTAGGTAATAAAAAAAGGGGGTCTGAAATAACTACCAAACACTAGGACATTACTTTTTCTTACTGCCAAATGACTCAGTGGTAACTGGAATCAAGGATGTTATATGGTGAATATGGAATTTTGGTAAATTAATATATAAGAGTTCTGGGAAGATCTTTTTCATGCCTTTGGCTTATATATCTCATTGATTCTTAGGAAATAGAATTTGGTTTGGAAATTAAGTATCCTGATATGATATTAAAGTACTGTATATAAATCTCATTAGGAAATAAATTTTATAGATAAGATTATGTAAATATCTATTGAACCTCATTTTAAAAACATTAATTCTGAAGTCATTCTTACATTAAAAATGCAAGGTAAGGATTTCCAATTATTCCAATTTTTATATATTAATGAAAGTCTCTCATATATAGTTGAATAACTTTATGTCTTTTAGCACATCTACTGAAATTGTAGTTAGCACAAAGATTCTAACCAAGTGTGGAGAAAATATGGTATATGGTAAGGAAAAAGAAAATGAGTCTTTAAAACCCATGATTGTGCCAATAAAAGTGGCTTTAAAATGGTGCATATTATCTTATACACCAATGCCACCACCAAGTGATCTAAGTAAAATAAAAAGTCTGCAAGGGGATAAAGATAGAAATGAAGTCTGTTTTCATTGTACTAATAATAATAAGGAAGAGCTGAAAGTTATTCAAATAGACCTGAGTAGGGTGGGTGGGGAGGGAGTGTTTCTTGAAAACAAGGCATAATTATGCCTTCTTTATCTGCCATGACTAGGGAACATAGGAAATCAGAGCAATCAATGTAGTAAAATAATGGAAACTTATGCCTATGAGCTCCTAAATTCTAAATTCTTTTAATTTTTTACTCTTGGGGAAACTGAATGTGATCTCCACCCCCCCCACACACGTGGCTCAAAGCCATTGTTATTCTACCAAGCAATATTGAGACTTGAGACTGTATACAGCTGTTTGTCCCTGTTAAATAGCTGCAGAATTGCTTTTATTGTATCTTTTCTTTCTGGTTTTAAAAAACTTTTCTCTCATTATTACATCTTTCTGTTTTATTGCTATCTGCACCTGCTTAAATTTAGTACAGTACAAGACCTGTCTTATCCCCAGCTCGTTCTTCTAGGAAGTCAGGTCATTTGCCTGACTGACATTCATTTACTCTTATTTTTTCTTCCAAATTAGTCACTTATCCTGGTTTTCAGTACAGCAACTCTATTGCCTAATGCTGGAAACTCTTCAATGCCTGCTTCTTAAAAGTCCTTTGATTCCCTACCCTGCCCCTGTAGGCCTTCTATTGCTTTTTCACTCCTGACAGAGGTAGAATAGAAAAACCAGCTTTTTTTAAAAAAAGTAATCTCTACACCCAATGTGGGGCTTGAACCCATGACCCCAAGATCAAGAGTTGCACACTCTACTGACTGAGCCAACCAGGTTTCCTTCCTTCCTTCCTTCCTTCCTTCCTTCCTTCCTTCCTTCCTTCCTTCCTCCCTCCCTCCCTCCCTTCCTCCCTCTCTCCCTCCCTCTCTCTCTCCCTTCCTTTCTTCCTTCTTTCCAACATGCTTTATGGAAGGACTGGGAAATAAAATAGAATGAGAGTGAGAGGGAAGATCTGTATAAAATTCAAATGAAATTCCCAGTTGCCTTTTGAAAAACTCTGGTTCCAGAGGCAGTGGATACTATCATGGTCTGGTGTCGAGGAGGACAATGACAGCACATAGCAGGTGTTGCCATGGAGGTTCTGGAAGGGAGACAGTGAAGCTGGAGGAGAACTTTGGTTCAGTGGATATCTTATGCTCTGTCGGACAAAGCGTCTGACAAAGATAGTTACATGGTAATAGTGTCCTGAGTAGAAGGAAATTGTTTTCATGGATTTAAACATTTATCTTCCTTTGAAGAATTAGAGCTCAGCCAGATGGAGCTTCCCCAGAAAGCAATTACTAGACAGTATTTTCCCTGCTCTTACTCACTTTCCCAGAAGGAAGTGGTATGCTCTTCTGAAGACAAGCCCCAGGCCTGGCACCAGAAAGTAGCCTGAGCCAGTGACCATAAATTTAATGACTTGGAAGCATTTTAAAATGCTGTACCAGTTTTGGTTATTAACTTGAGGTTTTTGGACCCCCAGAGCAGTGGTTCTTAAACTTTTTGGTTTCTGGGCCCCTTTATCATAAAAATTATTAAGAACACTGGAGAGCTTTTGTTTATCTATATCTATCAATATTTGCCAAATTAGAAATTAAAACAGAAAAATTTAAAACACACGAATAGGGACGCCTGGGTGGATCAGTGGTTGAGTGTCTGCCTTTGGCTTAGGGCATGATCCCAGAGTCCCAAGATCAAGTCCCACATCAGGCTCCCTGCATGGAGCCTGCTTCTCCCTCTGCCTGTGTCTCTGCCTCCTTCTGTGTGTCTCTTGTGAATAAATAAATAAAATATTGAAAAAAAATAAAACACATGAATACACAAGCCAGCATGTCATTAACTGTCAGAATGATAGAGCCATATGTCCTGTAGCCTCTGGAAAACTGTGCTTGCTGTACCCTTGAGGGACAATAAAAGTGAAAAATCAATTAAAATTGCAGTATTACTATAAAAGTAGCTTTGACTTTGTGGACTCCCTGAAAGTTTCTTGGGGAAGCCCAGGGATTCTTAGACCACAATTTGAGAACCGTTGCTCTAAGTGGTCTATGAATAGAATTCAGGAGATTTGAGATCTTAGAGGGGAAAAAGATTATCTTTATCTTCACTAATTTCCAACAGAACTTATGACTTCCTTTCGTTTCCAATGTAGGCATAAACCAAAGCAATATTAGGAGTTCCTGTGACTTTCTTACCAATAGAAATCACATATATGTTCGTAGCATGTCAAGTTATTGCAAAGTTATCTTAAAAATAACTTTGAAACTATGGTAGTTATTAGACCTGCTGCTAGATCTTGTTAATGTATTAATAAAAGGTACTTATATTAAAATTTTATAATTTAAAATTAATTTGATAAATATATAATCAATTTCCTTTGCATTTTTATGTCTTGTATGATTAAGACATTATTTTGAGAAGAGATCAGTGGCACACAAAAGGTTAAGAACTTTTTAGTATTTCAAGGACCTTAGAAGGACTCTAGACTTTTGTCCTCATGGAAATATCTACCAGGCATTGGTTAGGATCCTAGTGATATACTGAGATCCTGAAAGGTCAGCAGGAAGTGTGCTCTAGTTGGGTAAATCCACTGTTGACAAGCAGTATGTGGCTGACACTTCATTCTTGGTTATTCCAGTGCAGACTTCAGAATTGGACTCCTCAGCAGGGAATTAGATATTTGCCTACTGTTTGAGGGAGTAATCCATCTTATTTTTTCTTAGAGAGTCAGAAATAGTCTGTTGGCTTAGAAAACTTGTTCTACTTGGATTATGACATTATGAGATCTTGTCTGAAATGCTCTGCAACCTACCCTGAATTGTCAACACTTATGAATGAGTGTGGGATAGCTCAAAAGGATTCTAAATTAAATAATCCAAACTAAGAAATAAATGAATAAATTGAGGCTATTCTTCTCACTTGTTGGAATAAGCTCATTGGCATTTTTCAGGGGTAATTTGAGTGTCAGAAATAGGAAGTGATTCTCTAGGGACATAGTCCTGATTTTTGGATCACATCGTTCATCTTTTTTTTTTCTAAGACTTTATTTATTTGAGAGAGAGAGAAAAAGACAGATATAGCAACCGAGATAGCACAAGTGGGAGGAGAGGGAGAAGCAGGCTCCCCACTTAGCAGAGAGCCCAATGTAGGGCTTGATTTCAGGACCCTGGGATCATGACCTGAGCTAAAGGCAGATGCTTAACTGACTGATCCACCCAGGCACCTTCATGTGGTTCATTTTTATTCTTCTTGGATAGTCTCTGAAATGTAAACCCTTTTGAAGATGTTACAATGATGTTGTCTGCCGTTCATTAGCTGAGAATGCCTTAGCCTTTATGTCCTGGTTATCTGCTACAGAGCTTCTCCAGCTCAAATATTCTATAACAACTAGAAATTTGGGAATATATTCATTAATTGAAATTTACTGAACACCTACTATGAGCCAAACATTATATTAGGTACTGGGAACTCAATAGAGAACAGTACATGATCCCAGCCCTCAAGTACTCTAGAGTCTAGAGTTTAACAGCAAATTAGGATTTATGTAGAACCCACTTTCTAGACATAAAAATATTAGAAATTTATGGTGAATTCTGTGAAGATTGTCAGTTCACATTCATATAGCATCAACAGGGTCACTTGGTATTAATTGGAACCTAGGAAAGAGGAATCTCAGATTATCTTTTCATAATGAGCTTTCATTCACCTAATGAACCTTTATTAATAGCCTAAAATGTGTGAGACATTATGATAGACAGTGGATCACAGCTCCCTGCCCTGAAGAAACTCATAGGATACAAACAATCAATTAAGGTGATAAGGCTATGATGGTATATGTACAAAGGTATTTTTCAGGTACAGAGGAAGGCACACCTGACCCAATCAGATATTGGTAGTTGTAGGAGGTTAGGGAATGTTCTATAGAGGAGTTGGCATCTTGAGGGTCGAGCAGCAGTTTGTAAGGTTGAAAAACGAGAGAATTTTAATGTAATCATGGTTTGGACCCTAGTCTGGTACATCAGTCCTTTTCAAATTTTGAATGTCTGGTTTGGTGAGATGTGTTTGAAGTGCCTTGATTTAATATTGAAAATGTTCACGAGGGGGTTTGGGTTTTTTATTTTGCTTTGGATGTCACCTCTCATTTATAACTTTTTCTTTAATGTTTGTAGAAAAAACACCCAGGTTAATGCCTGATAAAGGAAGCATGTACTACCCACGGGTACAACATTATCGAGAACTGCTTGACTCATTGCCAATGGATGCCTATACTCATGGCTGCATTTTACATCCTGAGCTAACTGTGGACTCCATGATCCCTGCTTATGCAACCACAAGGATTCGCAGTATGTAACAATCTTAAAGACTTCGAATTCTGTCTCAGAGTTCTTTTAATTCATTTTTGAGATGGGGCTCATCTCATGAAGACTTGGGGACAGGGTTGTTAGGTTTGCTTCATGGATGTTACAGATCAATCCATGCACCAGATTAATCTGTGCTTCAGCTGTTCAGCTGGACATTTATTATCTATGGGAGCTGATTTTCCATCTCTTGGTCTTGAGGGCCAAGCTTGGGTGAAACTCAGAAGAGTAGCCTGTGGAAAAATAAGGAACATAACATGTTCTCATAGAAGATGGACTAAGAATCATGAAATCTGGAATCTGCTGGGGATTATGGGAGGGGCAACTAAATGTACATTTCTGGTCCTTAATTTTGTTTCATTATGTGAGGGAACTGGACTACAGGCTGTCTAACCATTACTCTAAATTCTAACCACCTCTAAATTCAGGTATTTGGGATGTATTAAAATTGAGTTGTGATATCCAGCTTCTTCTTTTTCTGAGGACACAGATGTCAGTTCATGGGATGTGGAGGAGAAGGGGTGTTCTTTGGCATAGGTGATTGAGATAGGAAAGTAAGGGAAAGTGGCTGTGGTCAAACTCTGGGAGTGTATAATTAGGAATACTCAAACCCAGATCTTCTAATTCTAGAAACCACATTTTTTCCATTACATCATACCTCACTTTTATAATTCTCTTACTTATGTTATTTTTCTTTCCTTTTGATACTTCTTCTCTCCTCTTCCATCCCCTCCTTCCTTTTTTCCTCTTTTCGCTTTACCTTCTTATTCCTCCTCCTTCTCTTCATAAGTATTCATATGATTTGAAACAGGTGGCCTGAATATAATTCTATCACCTAGAGTTAATATATTTTTAAACAAAGCCTTGGGATCCCTGGCTGGTGCAGCGGTTTGGCGCCTGCCTTTGGCCCAGGGCTCGATCCTGGAGACCCAGTATCGAATCCCACGTCGGCTTCCGGTGCATGGAGCCTGCTTCTCCCTCTGCCTGTGTCTCTGCCTCTCTCTCTCTCTCTGTGACTATCATAAATAAAATAAAAATTAAAAAAAAAACAAAAAAAAACCAAAGCCTTTTCCTTCTCTTCATATAGAAGTCCATTAATAAAAACTTGAAATATATTGAAAGGTAGAGCCACCACTCTGCACTGAGCACTTCTGACCTGCTAGGCCTTGCTCTAAGTGCTTTCCTGGGTGCCTCACATTTAATCCTTAGCCTATTTGGCAGACACTCTGATAGTTCCATTTTAAATTTGAGGAAACTGAGGCACAAAGAGGTCTAAGGCAGAGTCAGGGCATGAGCCCTAGAGCTCCTGCCCTTACCATGGAGTGTCCTAGCTTCTCCTTGTTTCTTGTTTAGAAGGGAGGAAATAATTTCCTATTTCAAAAATGATTTTATTATCAGGCCAAATTGGTAACACAGAATCTGAACTGAAAAAACTTGCTGAAGAAAACCCAGATTTACAAGAGGCATACATCGCAAAACAGAAGCGACTTAAAGTAAGTAAACCAGGCTGTCCTTAGTTGACATCCACTGTTTGCATTCCATGTTCTACATTTTGTAGTCTCACTATTTCTAGGACATCTTCTCTTAAATATTTGCAAATCACCAGTGCATGTTACCTTTTGCTTACTCTCTGCTTTTAGAAAGAATTTTCCTTTGATTTAATAGTCAGACCTGATGACAGTTGCTTAAAAGGTAGATTTTGCTCATGCTGGTTACCAAGGAAAGTTGTAAAATGTAAAAGCAAGTTCATAATATACAGTATCAATCTGTCATTTCGGGTACTCTGCCACTTTTTAAGGCCTAGCTAGAACTTCAGGACTTTTTTTTTTTTTTAATACCAATAAGATAATTGGCAAATTTGTTCTTATATTATACTCTTCTCTCTTATTTTTTTTCTTACCTTTCACCCATTTCTTCCACGTCTAACTCCCACCTCTGGCAACCACCAATCTATTGTCTATGAGCTTGGGTTTTGTTTTGTTGTTATTATTGTTGTTTTTAGACTCCACATTTAAGAGAGATCCTACAGCATTTGTCTTTGACCTATTTCACTTAGCATAATTCCCTTGAGGTATAGTTACGTGAGTGCAAATGGTAAAACTTCATTATTCTTTGTGGTTGAATAATATTCCATTGTATGTATATCCCACATCTATTCATTCATCCATTGATGGGCACTAAGCTTGTTTCTTGGATGTTGTAAATGAAGGAGCAATGAACATGGGAGTGGATATATCTTTTTGAGTTAGTGTTTTTGTTTTCTTTGGATAAATGCCCAGAAGTGGAATTTCTGGATCACCTGGTGGTGGTTCTATTTGTAGTTTTTTAAGGAACTTCTGTATTGTTTTCCAGAGTGGCTGCACCAGTTTACACTCCCACCACTAATGCACGATTGTTCCCTTTTCTCCACATCCTTGCCAGCACTCACTTCTGGCCTTTTTGATAACAGCTATTCTAACGGCTGTGAGGTGATAGCTCACTGTGGTCTGGATTTTCATCTTCCTGATGATGAGTGATGTTGCACACCTTTTTATGTACCCATTGGCCTTCGATGTGTCTTCTTTGGAAGAATGTCAATTCAGAACCTCTGTACATTTTTAAATCAGATTTTATTGCTGTTGTTGCTATTGTGTTAGAGTTCTTTATATATTTTGGATGTTAACCCCTTATCAGATACATAATTTGCAAGTATTTTCTCCCATTTAATAGGCTGCCATTTCATTTTGTTTTTGGTTTCCTCTGTCATGCAGAAACTTTAGTTTGATGCAGTCCCGCTTGTGTGCTTTTGCTCTTGTTGCTTTTGTTTTTGTGTAAGATTCAAAAAATTATTGCCAAGACCTACATCATGAAGCTTACCACCTCTGTTTTCTTCTAGGAGCTTTATGGTCTTAGGTCTTATGTTCAAGTTTTTAATCCATTTTGAGTTAATCCATTCTGACTTGTCTGCCTCTTAAGGAGTAGGGCTTTGTTTCATCTGTTCCAGTCAGCCTTTCTCTTTCTGAGGTGATTCTTTCCTCAGGGCCCAAGAACACACACAAGCTTCCCCCATATTAAAAATGTAGCAAACGTCAACACTCATCACCTTCCTCAACTTTCCATCTTCCTTTATCTCAGCTAAGTGAGCTGCTCAAAAGAAATGCCTGCACACACAGCACTTCTTACTTTGTACTCAGTCTCTAAGTCACTGCATTCAGATTTCTCCCTCAGCCTGACCCTTCAGTTGTTCATTCCTTGAAAGCTGTTGAAATTCCATTTGTTAGTTGGGGGGCTGAGAGGAGTCTCTTTGTGCTCCTCATATTCTTTGCCATCTCTGGTCATCTAGTGTATGGGAGTTACCTGTGGACCAGTGGGTCTGGTCAGTGGAGAAAATTCTCACAGCCAGAGCATTTTCCCTCAGGTTTTCTTTTGCTTTAACATTATTCTCTATCTTCTCATTGCCTCAGATAAATAGGCTCCAACTTTTTAAGAGTTTATATCTGCTTTGCTCTGTGTTGTTTTTTGTAAGCATCAATAACCTATTTAGTTATTTTTGCTAATTAGTCAAAGCTGCTTGACCATGACAATGTCAAATACTTGAAGAAAATTCTTGATGAACTGGAGAAAGTCTTGGATCAGGTTGAAACTGAGTTGCAAAGAAGAAATGAGGAAACCCCAGGTAGGTTCTTATTTGTGTGTGTGTGTGTGTGTGTGTGTGTGTGTGTGTGTGTGTTTCTCTTTTGCTGGATCCGAGGCATGTTATATTTATGGGAATATTATTAGATTTTACCAAAAACATTCTGTAATCTGTTTTTTGTTATTCTTATTCATGGGCAGTTTAAATTATCATGGCAACAATAATACTGAACTCAGCAAAACCCAGATGTCTAATGGTAACCCAATCAGTGTCTATGTGAAATGTGACTGGTGGAGGATTTTTCTGCCCAATTTAAAGTTATGGTTGAGAGATTCCTACTTACCCTGTTTGACACATTTGTAATTATAGTACTTCATTTGGTTGAATAACCTGAGTAATTAGCTTGAAAGCTTCCTCTAGTTTTACCCCAGGCAGGGGGAATACTTCCAATCTGAAGTATGAAATGGGGGCTGGCCTATGTATATCTGTAGGCTGGCTGGTGAGCATCTGTGTATTGTACCTGTGAACCTAACCGCAGGATCCAGCCATTGCCCAGGTGCATGCACATGGACCATTTGCAACTATTCTAATTGGCAACAAAGTTGAAGACCATGTTACATGAAGCTTTCTTCACAATAGGAACTTTCTTTTGCTTTATGTGAGTGAGGAGGAGCAGCAATCACTGAGTGACATTCCAGGCCCAATTTTAGGAATTTTTCTAAGGTTCACCTGCTGTTTTCCTAAGCCAGGAGGAAAGATCTGTGACTTCTCTGGCTTGGAGGCTCTTAACTCCTCAGAATCCTTTTTAATATCAAAGATAGATTTGAACTCAAGTAGCTCCCGTTTCACCCAAGGATGTAGGTAGCTGGCAGGTATTAAGCAAATCTCCCTTTGCTTGGGTGACATTGGCATGGACTTTGTCTTAGGATAAATTTGTCAAGAAAATGTACCACGGCCTTCATCTTTTCACTGTTCTCACACTTGCCCTTACGACCACGATGAAAGATGCCAGCTAGAGTCTCTCTGTACAGCTCTTGCCCCTAATTCTCAATGTCCCTTTCTCTGATTAGAAGAGGGCCGCCAGCCTTGGCTCTGCGGAGAATCCTTCACTCTGGCAGACGTCTCTCTCGCTGTCACATTGCATCGACTGAAGTTCCTGGGGTTTGCGAGGAGAAACTGGGGAAATGGAAAGCGACCAAACTTGGAAACCTATTACGAACGTGTCTTGAAGAGAAAAACATTTAACAAGGTTTTAGGACATGTCAACAATATATTAATCTCTGCAGTGCTGCCAACAGCATTCCGGGTGGCCAAGAAAAGGGCCCCAAAAGTTCTTGGCACCACCCTTGTGGTTGGTTTGCTTGCAGGAATGGGATATTTTGCTTTTATGCTTTTCAGAAAGAGACTTGGCAGCATGATATTAGCACTTAGACCCAGACCAAATTATTTCTAGGCTTGTAGGGATCTGGTGGTGGCAACTCATCCAACCATTCAACTAGGCCCTTGTTCACTCTTCCAGGCCCAGTGAAGAATGACCCTGGGCAATTAGTAAAAAGCATAATTTACTTTACTCTTTGGGTAGTTTTGTGGGAAGAAGAGGTAATGAAAATGTTTTTGTGGGCTGGTAACTTTGAGATTACTTATTTGCAAACCTGAACTAATCCATCCTTAAAACATGTGCAAGGTCAAAATATGTAAATGCTGACAAAGAACTAGACCTTTAACTCAGAATGCCAGTTCAAGGTCTGAATTACTTTTTGGGAGAAGGTTCTTACTATGAGCAGACAGTAATCATCTGTGATTGCCCATAGCTCTTCATCTGAGACAATCTGGATGTGCTGAGTGTTGAGTAGTTAGCAACATTTTCCACTGGAATTCAGAAATCATCTTTGTTTCACAACCTGGGTTCTGACAGCAGCAGGGTACAATAGTACTTCACATTATCACTCAGATTCAGGCAGAAATGAGAAAGACAAAGGGAACAGGGAGAGGGTTAATGAAGTCAATCTAGTGAAGAACAGTAGTAGGCAACCTCCAGGCACTTCCAATGCTACTCATGGCTGCATGTCCCCTTAGTAAACATCAGACTACTTATGGCCACTGCCCGTGTATTCTCCTATACTTAAGACCTTGGGGAAATGACTAGGGAGTTACTGGGGGGAGTGGGCTGGAGAAAACTCTGGGCTTTACACTTACAGCACCTCATCTGACCTTAGTATTATTTTAAATGCACATGATTCACACTTGTTTTAATAAGACTAACTGCTTGTATACTTGTGTGTGGAATGCCCACTGGAACATGTCTGCCTAGCATTTACATAAAAGTCTTAAGTGGTTCTTTTCCTCACAGTTCCTCAACTGGGTGGTACGTGTGAGATAGCACTCCTGTGGACCTTTGTGTCCAGTCAGTGGGGGGTCTTGGCTTCTACAGCTCTTTTTAGCACACAAGTGGAAGTCAGGTGAATGTCCCAGCTAATTACTAACATGGCATGTGGCTGGGTAGTGGATATTTTAATGATCTGGAAGTACTAAATATGCTCATTCTGTATTTGAAAAGTCTGGTGTGTTAAAAAAAACCTGTTGCCTAGACCTTGCATCTGTTTATTGTCCTTAACAAGGCCTTAAAAGGTTAAAGAGAAAGGTCTAGTCTTAGTCTGTGGAAATTAATTTAGGGGAAATGAAATAAGTTGATAGTGATGTTCACTTATATTCATTCATGTATGTCTAGGGATTTCAGGGGGGGTACCTCAGTCCATCTAGAAGGGACAACCCCACTGTGCCCCATGAACAATTATACAACTACATCCTACACAGCACTCAGGAAAAAATTTTTCATGGTGACATGAAGATACAGTTTCCCTGAAGCTAGTCTGAAAGGAGTTGGGGGACAGTTTTAGGTCTCTGGCTGGAAGTATGTACAGAGAATGATAAGCTAAGTAAGGTTCCAGCAAACAATAAAAGCTTGTTTGGATTGCCTCAGATTGGCTATGCAAAACAGCCAAAGAATGTACTGAATTTTCATCAACAGGAAACAGTCATACATAGGAAATGATGACTTTTTGATGGCAAAATGAGTCTGTAATTCCATTTCATGAATCAGTTGTTTTAGAAAATTCTGATGAAATGGATATTCCATTTTGCAAAATTTGCAAAATTAGTTTTCAAAAATTAGTAACATCCCCATGTAAACTCAATACAACAATAATTAACAGACTGGCAGCTTTTCTGATGTCTTAATATTGCTCCTCAGTGCATTGTCATAGAGATTGGCTGGATTTGTTTGTTGCTGGCACCTCCAATTGTATGTTCTTGAAAGAGCCACAAAACTGGTTATTTAGTAGTTCATTGTGTTCCTGAGATCTTTATATCACCCTCTTAGAAGAATTCAGACACGAAGAGGACACGATTGGGTTTTTATAAAAATCTACAAAGTGTATTTACCTATGGAGAGGCTGTTGATTAAGAATAAAGATTAGAAGCCTAGTGCTGGCTTTTCTTAAATTCATTTTATTACTGAGTCAGAGAAAGTCTACTGGGAAGTATAATTTTCTGATATAGTTTCATTGGAAATATGCTTGTGTCAATATTAAAGATGATGCATCATAGTGATTTCCCTTGTTTCATGGATACTCCTGGGTTTAGACTAATAAAATGTTTGGGGTCATAATGCCCACTAGATGTCGCTGTTCACACAGTAGTCTGAGCTGGGGCATTAGGTTCAGCAAGCCTTCTAAAAAGGCCCAAGTGAAGATAAACATTAATGACCTTAGTTTCTGAAATGAAGGTATCTTGATCAGATCATTCATCTGTAAAAAATCTTGAGGCACATGTAGTATTGATTTCTGATGCTTTGGAAGGGATAAAAGTATCACACAATGTCAGGCTAAAGAGCTAAACAAATACTGTTAGCAAAATAAGCACTTCTATCTTTTTTTTTTCATGATCATTGGTGACTGGCCCGTGTGCTCCTCAGTTTCCAAAGTTTGTATAAATATCAAAATTATAAAAATGCCCGAGTTACTAAATTTAAGTTGGCTATGTATGTCTAAATACATAAATACTATTTTATTGTTATTGCAATTACATGCCCTTTGAATCCATTTTTCTTTAATTGCAGATACTTGTAAATGTTTGCTTGATTTTTAGGAATTATTGATATCGACACCAGAGTTCTAGGTATTTTGGTGTTGTTGAATGTAATAGATCAAGATACTATTCTGCCTGTAAAATCAATAAAAGTAACTGGATAATGAATATGAACTCTAAAAGTGTTAATTTTATAATCTTTTTAAAGAAAAGAGATTTCATTTAAATCAAAGCATACTGTGGTAACTGGAAATAATAAACTAAGCAAAGGCTTTAGAAATTAAAGATATTTAACTACAGGATGCCATATTTTCCTTATAACAATTTCTGACTCATGATTTATTTAAATACACACAGTTTTATAATGAAAAGAATAACATATTACTCTGGGGTACCTAAGTGGTGCAGACAGTTAAGTATCCAACTCTTGATTTTTGGCTCAAGTCATGATCTCAGGGCCAGGAGATCAAGCCCCTTGTGGGGCTCCATACTCAGCACAGAGTCTGCTTGAGTTTTTCTCTTCCCTGCCCCACCCCACTGTACTCTCTCTATCAATCAATCTTAAAAAAAAAAAAAGAATAACATATTGTTCTTGAACATTAAAGGCATTCTTTTGCAGCTAACAGGATAGACATGAAATGACAAATATCGAGAGAATATTGTTTTTTCAAAATAATTTTGTTACATGTTTACTCAGTTTCAAAGATGACTTTTATGATATTTATGGATATTTTTGATATAGCTAATTCACTTTTATTGAGTTATATATTATGAATATTCAACTTATCTATATTTCCAGCCTTGGCCATTATTCTAGTCATCAGATAGAAACTGAATATTATTTTTGTCTTACAAGGAACAAAGTAAATGAGAACCTAATTGATTTTATTTTCCCTGAGTTTGTTAGCAAAACAAAAAAACCACAATATCAAATACCCATAGAAAGTCAAATGATATACAATTCCATTGTCTATTCAGAAAAGGGGAAAACACCATATTAAAGACACAAAAGTCAAATTAATGCACCAAATAGATTGGTATTTAGTCAAAACTTTCATATTGTTTATGCCAAATATTTGGCTCCTTTATATTGTTATTCTTCACATATTCATCTCAGAATGCCTTTGTTTTCTAATTTTTCACAACACTTATGTTATACAAGGTAGGGTAGAAGTTTCCAAACCAAGTAAGGAAGTATAATTTCTAGAGTGAGGATAATTGTTTTGATTATGTATTACACTGTGAAAATGGAGAGAGGGAGAGAAAAAGAGAATTCACTTCATATATTAGAAGGGCAGTACACTGATGAAAGCAGTATCTTGTATTACTTAATCTGAGTTGAGCCCTGGAATTTTGTCTTAGGAAGGAAGAAGGACTGATATATGGGTCACAAGGCAGCAGGGTGGAGCAGGCTCTGAGGTATAAAACAAGGCCAGGTGGAGCTTGAGACAAAATATACGGATAACAGGCCCTGATATACTCTGATTCCAGCAGGTGGTGTATCTCATTATAAAGCTCCCTTTGGGAAAGCTAGACGTTTTTGTCTTCAGCCTTTCACTCTATTTGTTATTTATACATTGGCTTCTGGATTACAAGGTATTGTCTTTAAATTCCCTTACTAGAGAAAAACCAATAGTATGGATGAAAATATAAATATGCTAATGAAATCAAATGTACATGGAAATCAGGTTTCCCTGCTAACAGAAATATTCACATCCATACACATAAAGTTAATTCCTAACCAGATAGGTAATTTTTCAGACATACGGCTACTATGTATATGTTTTTGTACCATCAGATTAAGCTATCTTTTGAATTTAAGAATCTGATATTCAACAGTCTCTTACAAACATCAAATGCACATCATAATAAAAATGTAATGGTATACTTTTAGCAATTCCACACTTAAGCTCAATGAATAAAAAAGTAAAGATTTACATTGAAAAACTGGTATGAACTAAAAATTGTTAGCATTAAAAGTAGAGGTGGCTATGTTTTAAAAATGGTCAAAAATTTGTCTCATTCTCTTGCAATGTGATGTTACAAATCCTCTTGTAATTTCAAATCCTCAGATCATGACTATTTTAGGCTTCCTAGAAAGGAACTTACCAGAGATATTAGACAGTAGCTAGTAATGAAAGTCACTAGACGTCCTCATTAATACCTTGTTAATCCTCCAGGCAAAAGTCAGGAGTATGCCCTCACATAAGGCCTAAGTTAGAAGAATTTTTCAGTCTTGGCACTATTGATATTGTAGGCCGGGTAATTCTTGTGTAGATCTGTTTTTGTGTCTTGTGGGGGTATTTAGTGGCATTCCTGGCCTCTACCTACTAAATGCCAGTAGCTCCCCATTTATTTCCTGTTTTGACAACCCGGAACATCTTCAGAGTTTACTGAATGTCACTTGGGGAGAAAAGCATCTCCAGTTGAACAGCTATATTCTACATTGACCCTAACAAAGCCTAAAACAAACCCTGACAAAATCTGCAGGGGAGATAGATATTGGATGTTGGATCCTGCCAAGTTAGAGTACTTGGGAAATGTCTTGGGCTCCCATATGCCCTCCATATCAAAGCATAAAATCAAACCTATGTAATTTAAAAGTTATTAGCCAGTAATTGAGCTGCCTCCCAGAACAAGAATTAGTACCCGTCAGAGGGAAGATAACAGGATCCAGAATCTCTATAACATACTGCTATCAATGTCCAGTACACAATTAAAAAATTACCAGACACTGAAAGATACAGGAAAATAGGATCCAAAATCAATCAAAAAGATGATAGTAAACAGCAGCAGGATGGGATGTGACCCAAATGTTGGATTTAGCAAAGACTTAAAACAGCTAAAGGACAATATATATTCATAGAATTAAAATAAAATGTAGTCCGATTGAGCCAATAGATTAGGCGTTGGAGAAATGAAAACCACAATAAAGAACCAAATAGGAGGGGATCCCTGGGTGGCTCAGCAGTTAGGCGCCTGCCTTTGGCCCAGGGCACGATCCTGGAGTCCCGGGATCGAGTCCCACGTCAGGCTCCCGGCATGGAGCCCGCTTCTCCCTCCTCCTGTGTCTCTGCCTCTCTCTCTCTCTCTCTCTCTATCATGAATAAATAAATAAATCTTTTTTTAAAAAAAGAACCAAATATATAGCTTCCACAGCAGATGGGAGACCACAAAGAAAAGATGAGGGAGCAGAACCTCAGGGTCACATGAATAATAACTCGTTTAATATATGTGTTATAGGAGCACTAGAAAGAAAGTAAGAATGGAGTGGAAACAAACATTAAATGCCAAATTTCCTAAATTTGATGAAAACTGTTGATTGACAAATTCAAGAAAATCACTGAATTCAACGAATGATAAATACCAAGAAAGCAAAACTTAAGCATTGTTGAAAATAGCCAGAGGGGAAAAAAAGTCACGTAACACTGAATTGAACAGTAAGAATACTTGCTGGGTTCTCATCAGAAACAGTGGATATCAGAAAACAATGGAAATGTCTGTAAAATGTTGATGGGGGGAAAAATCCTCAGAATTCTGTATCTGAAGAAAATATTTCTTAAAAATTAAGTGAAATAAAGACATTTTCCTGATAAATGCAAACACAGTAATAAATTAAATCCAGTAGACCTGCAAAACAAAGTGTTACAGGCATTCTTCTGACTGTTAGAGCAATGAGATCTGATGGAAAACCAAATCTACAGAAAGAAAAAACTAAAGAGTTCTGGGAATGGCAGATAAGTGGGTGGTATAAAAGATTATTTTTATTAGTTCATCATTTACTTAAAAGGACCTGATTGTTTAAAACAAAACTAATAGCATTGTACACGGTATTTTATAATATATGAAGAAACAAATATATCACAAAAAGAAACACAAAAGTAAAAAGTGATGGATAAATGAAATATTGTAAGACAGATTTGCATATGAAGTATGAAGAAGGATGTGTCAAGGACAAAGTAACAAGTGTCTAGTTTGAAGTAGTACAATTTTGACTCCAAATAGACTCTGATAAGTTAAGAAAGCAGTGTTGTCACTGGAAGGATACTAAAAATTAATTTTATAAAAAGCTAAGAAACCAACAGAATAGATAGAATAAAATACCACCACCACCACCAACAACAACAACAAAAAAAAAAAAAACAGAAGAGAAATGGAAAACAACTAGCAAGGTGGTAGATTTAAACACACTATTATAATTACATTAAATGTAAAAAATGTAAATTACATTAAATGTAAAATCTTCCAACTGAAGGTCAGATTTTAGATTAGATAACAATGCAAAACACAAGTATATGCATCTATTAGAGATGCATTTTAAATTTCAATTTCAATGTAAATTGAACATAAAACGATAGAAAGTTCACATGAAAGGAAAGCATCAACAAAACAAAAAGTCAACTGGATGGGAGAAGATATTTGCAAATAGTATATTTGATAAAGGGGTAATACCCAAAATATATAAATAAGTTACATAACTCAAACCAAAAAAATCAAACAATTTTATTAAAAAATGGGCAGAGGATCTGAACAGTAATTTTTTTCCCCAAAAAGACATACAGATGGCCAACAGACACATGAAAAGATGCTTAATATCACTAATCAGGGAAATGCAAATCAAAACCACTATGAGATAGTACCTCACACAAGTCAGAATGGTTAACTTCAAAAAGACAAGAAACAACAAGTACTGGTAAAGATGCTGAGAAAAGGGATTTCTTGTGCACTGTTGGTGGAAATGTAAATTGGTGCAGCCACTGTGAAAAACAGTATGGAAGTTCCTAAAAAAATTAGAAATACAATATGATCTAGTAATTCCATTACTGAGTAGTTACTCAAAGAAAATGAAAACATTAATTTGGAAAGGTATATGTACCCCTATGTTTACTATAGCCAATATACAGAAGCAATCCACATGTCCACTGATAGATGAATGGATAAAGAAGATATGGTATGTATATACAGAATGGAATATTAGTCATAATAGAATAAAATCTTGCCATTTGAGGCAATATGGATGGACCTAGAATGTATTATGCTGAGTTTAAAATAAGAGAAAGACAACATATAATTTCACTCATATGTGGAATTTAAGAAATAAACAAAAAACTCAAGCAGACACACAAATACAAAGAACAAACTGGTGG